GGGAACATTTGCTGTTAATGTCTGTATTTTATCTAAACCCTTATGACAAAACTTCACACTCAAGACACATTACCTCTGTTTTTTTAATCAATGAAAATGTATTGGTTCAGCATTATGTTAACAAGAGTGTAACATGCAGTAATATTTTGTTTGTATTTCCCAGCTCATAGTGAGATCTGTAGTTGATGACCTTGACCTTATTCTCATGGCCTCAACAGCTTCTCAACACAGGAATATAGTGTACATGGTTTATGACTAAATGGCCATGTGATAGTGTGTTATAAATGTTTAGTTTTCCCTGTATGGCTTTCCCAGAGCAGGCAGCTTGAGACGTGCTTCATGTCATATACTGCCTATATGATTCTTATAAAGCCATGAATGAAAAAATGTATCACAAGTAGCCATACATCCAGTTTATTCTAAAATGCTTCTAAATCCCACTTACTCCTTTCATAAAAGTTTATACCCATGCATTATAACATTCTACTTCCTTTGACCTTTGACCTATAGCCTGCGGTGAGTGTTTGTCTATAATCTCCTTTTTCTGTGCATATTTTCATAATCTAAAAGATTCTTGTTAGATTAAAAAAACATCATCTGTTTCAACTCTAAATTCTTAAATGTTGCAAGGGGGGGATATAGTGAATAAAGATTTGAGTTAATTGGAAAAATTTCCAGGAACAGGGTGTTGTGTTACTGTTGGGTGAGACACTTCCAGGAACAGGGTGTAGTGTTTCTGCCAGGTGAGACATTTCCAGGAACAGGGTGTAGTGTTGCTGTCAGGTGAGACATTTCCAGGAACAGGGTGTAGTGTTTCTGTAGACCATAGTGCCGGGTTACTGTCTAGTGAAACATTACTCTTACCAGTTAGATATTTGTTACACCAGATCATAAAAACAAACTGACATGTCAGCACCCTTGTATCTGCTTGCCCTCTTCACTAATGGAAATTAACTGAACAGAACCCAGCCAAGGAGATGCTTTGCTCCTTTGTAGGACTTGTAATTTCCTGTGCTTGTAGTTGTCAGGAACATTTAATTTGAGTGATTAAGATCTTTTTTAAATTTCTGTGTTGACTTGAAATTTTGCAGGTCACCCTTTCATGTTTAATTAGTTGTGAGTAAAACTGCGTGGATGGGCAGCTGTTTCAGTCAGGGTCACCTAGACCTTGATGGAGGAAATATGTCTGAGTCGTGTGACCTGTTGTATCTTTTATCTTTGTTTTGCTACACGTTTCTCTGAGTGAAATGTCATTTTCTTTTCTTTCTGTGAACTCGTGTGTTCTGTTATTTCAACTGGGAAGGTTACAAGATGTGGTTGCTTTGTTGAGAATTGTGGCCAACTTCAAGTTTAGCCCTTTTTCAAATATGTTTGTAACTGTCATTACTGTATTCACCATAATAAATGCCATATTCCAAGTGACACAGGATTGTAGAACAAGTTTTTGTGAGTGCTGGTTTCTAAGACCCAAGTAATTACATGACTGTATTACAGATGTTTTGACAGAAAAGAAATGTAGTATGGGTAAATAATTGCCCAGTAATGATATTGACAAAGCTTTAGTTTCATCAGTGCATGAACTTTAAAATGCAGTCTATAATTTTGTTCACTAAACAATTGACTGTTTACAATAAACAGCTAGATGTGGCAACCTGTGACCAAGCCTGGACCAGACAAACAAATGATTGATATTGTGAGCAAACCCCCGACCATCATGGTATGTTAACAGGCAATCAGCCCAATGTCCAAGCCTGACCCCTCAATCCTCTGAGATGTCTCTTACACCCAGGGTAGGTTGCTGGGGACGAATTCTTACCCTGACTACTCACAGTCAGATAGTGAATGAGTAAAAAAAATTCACTTTTTCAGCTATTATGGGAGACCCATGAAGATCCTGGTTAGAATTGGTTCTCAGCAACCCATGCTTGTTGTAAGAGGTGACTAACAGGATCGGGTGGTCGGGCTTGCTGACTTGGTTGACACATGTCATCCTATCTTTGTTAGGTAGATCGATGCTCATGCTGTTTGTCTCTGGATTGTCTGGTCTGATTATTTACAGACTGCTGCCATATAGCTGGAATATTGCTGAGTGCGGCGTTAAACAGCGAACAAACAAACTATTGTGAGACTAATACAATTTATACATTTACACTAACCTACATTTTATAGGAGAGCGGAAGGTCGTGGGTTCAATCCCCGGTCGCGTCATACCAAAAGACGTTAAAATATGGTACTTGTTGGTCTCTGTCTGGCGCTCGGCATTAATGGGTACAACAAGGACTGGTCGGCTCGGAGTCAGTATAATGTGTCTGAGTGGGGTATTCATGCTTCACTGCGGCATGGTATCTCAGTGGGCTAGCACTATAAAACCAGCTTACGTCTGGGCTAGTACAAGCAGCCGCACATACACATACACACGCATGCACGTCGTCATATGAGCGAAATATTCTTAAGTACGACGTAAAACCCAATTTCACCTCACCTACATTTTATAGCAGAATGGTCTGTAAATCAAGAAATAGACAAAGACTAGCCTTGAGAAAGCAATAGTCTGTCGTACAGACCCTGAAACAAATGTATCCAAGAAAGCCCACGCAAGTCTAGAAAATGTGGCAATTCTAGATTTCCTCAGCTTCAGGGCTCCTTTTCATCATATTATATTTTTTTTTACTATGAACTTTTTTCAGTAAAATATGTTCATTTCAGAGACTAGTTGTTAGTCTAAGAAAGCAAGATCCATGATAGAAATAAAAATAAATGTTGATGTCATTGTTAGAGACTTATCGCTTCATGTTCTGACCAAGGGGCAGTGGGGTAGCCTAGTGGTTAAGCGTTCGCTCGTCACACTGAGAACCCGGGTTCGATTCCCCACATGGGTACAATGAGTGAAACCCATTCCTGGTGTCTCCTGCCACGATATTGTTGGAATATTGCTAAAAGCAGAGTAAAACTAAACTCACTCACCCATGTTCTGACAATGCATGCACACGCACACACACACACGTATAACACTGGCTGACTTTGATCATGAACTACAGCCTACACTACATTGTACATGAATGTTTCAGCCTGGGTGGACACGTCCCGGAACATGTTCTCATGTGTGATGGTGACATTGCATGGTGACAATCTAAAATCTCCTGCTGTGAATATATTTGTTCGTGATAACTAACGTGGCTATCACCTTCACACGGCTCCCTAGGATGTAAGATAAAAGGTAGTTGAAGTATCAGTGTGTGACTATTCATACAATTAGATGTATTCATTACGGACATGTAATAAAAGCCGTATTCCATCCTAGGTTTTGATTTTGGTGTTATAATCTCGTAGTCAATGACTGGATGAGAAGGGTTGCATTGGATTTAACCATTGGATTGTGCAGCCCAAGTGTTTGATATCACTGTTATCTACCAACCACAGATAAGAAGGAGATAAACTGTTCAGACTGACAGTATTGTGTCAATATTCTGCATATTTAGTGTCCTAGTTTAATAAATTACATCCAGTTTGTCATAAATGAGGAATGAAAATTCCACTTAACCACAAAGTGATTGAATTATGGCTTAATTTTACAGACTGGAATCCTAAAATGATATCCCCAAGAATAAAGGTAACAATCTTGTAACTGAACCTCATTTGAATCAAATCTGAGAGTTTGAACCTTTATTGAATTCAGACACTGTCTGACATTCCTACTACAAACATTTAATAGAGAATTGTTTTGTCTTGAAGAAGCAATCTCCTAAGTATCAAGTTGGACAATTTGTTTTTGCTTGAGTTAGGAGTGAGTGAGTTGAGTTTTACGCCACATTCAGCAATATTCCAGCTATATGGCGGCGGTCTGTAAATAATCGAGTCTGGACCAGAAAATCCAGGGATCAACATCATGAGCATCAATCTACCTGAGCCAGGAGCAACACCATAGGAGGACAATGACATCCACATTCAGTACAGCCATCCATAGTCTGTCTCAAACCCTAAACAAAGCAAGTCTAGATTTCCTTAGGTAATCTTTGGTCTCCCTGGGGTTCCTTTTCAATTTAAATGGGTTTGTTTGTTACTCTCAAAACTACATATATTCAGAGACTAAGCATTAGTCTTAGCCTAGACTAACAACTAGTCCCTGAAATGAACATATTTTACAGAAAAATAAGTTCATAGTTAAAAATATAAAATATAATGAAAAGGAGCCCTGAGACTTTCTTCATTAAGCTGTGGATATCTAGACTTGCCACATTTTCTAGACTTGCGTGGGCTTTCTTGGATATATTTGCTTCAGGGTCTGTATGACAGACTAGTCTAAGCCGTCCAAGGCCCTATCCAAGAAGAGAACTCACTTAACACACGCTTACACCTTTGCTTTGTGGAACAGCCCCAGTAATAAATTATACCCCCACAATCGTATGTCACTGTTACAGTCTGGTTGAGGTACTGGGGACCTCCACTGCCATGAGTCCACACACGGATCATGTACAGATTAGTCTGCACGGGAGGTGCTGTAGATAGGTTAGGCAGGATGACACTGAGATTCCATCTTCACAACTCTTAGATCAACAAGTTGGTGTAACATACTCTCTGGCTCCCTTCATGCTCAGTGAATATTTACTGCATATTCAAGCCAGGATCTGCTACATGCAGGTGTTTTTCTCCTTAACGCTTGCAAAAAATGACATTTCTGTGTGCAAAATGCTCAAGCAGCGAGTTGCTATTTCTGTTGCAAGTGCGAGATGTGCTCTCTACTACGCACTTCTATGTGCATGACATCCATGTTGAAATGCTTCACAACCACATGTTTAAAGTAATCATATTTGGTTATGAAGATAATAATGTCCATAATGATAAGTGTCAGGCACACAGTATGTAAGAATCGTACTAATAGTTTCCTCACAACTGATTGCAGCATGTCTGTCATACGCAGTGTCGTGTTACGGTTATGTTCTTCAGAGGTGTCAATAAAAATCAGCACACTTGAGCATGCTTTGATTACTGTGGAGTTCCCCAAGATCTCCCCCTTCTACACGTGTGTATGAATACAGGAGACAGACTGGTGGTCTGAAGGGAGATCGCCTGGCTCTGGAAGATGGGGCAAGCTGGGTTAATCGTATGATAATGACAGGAGTGATAAATGATCCTGCCATTATTTTAAGAGCTTTCGAGTATCTCCTCTCTCTGTGTGCCACTTACCTGGTGACTTTCAAGGAGCCGCACCATTTCGCTCACCTGCCCTGGGGACAGTTTCCTCATTAACAAGGTGAGTTGTCGGGTTAGCAGCTTCAACAAGGATTCTTGTGTTTTATTAATGGTAACATCGGGACTTGTGTCTTGTCTGACTGGGATCTGGTGCTGTACAGCAAATATTAATCACAGAAAACAGTGGAAAGAACATTTGTTCTAAGGATTTCAGATTTTTGAAGACTGAGGAGCAGCACATCAATTGTGTGGATTCATATCTTAATCATAAAAAGATTTGGCCATTATGAGAAGTTAACTGTAAAGCTTTAATATAAACTCTGAAAAAAATTATCATTTGTTCACAAAACTGTACGTGGGCTGTTTGATAAAAAGCCATCTGTTTGTTCAAAAGCATCTACTTTATAACACTGATGTTAATGAAAATTCAGAAAAAGGTCTGATTTAAAAACCACTGAAATAAAAAATGTATTTGTTCGTTTACTCAACAATTTTTAGTTTGAAAGAGCAGTTACTCTGATAATGGTTTCGAATTCATTGTGAATATCTGTGAAGTTTCTTTCTATTGTACATACCTTATCACTTGAGTATTTGTACTATAATCGTAAAATCTCTCACTTGGAGGAGACAAATGTTTTTTATATGATAGTACGACTCCAGTGTGACAGTATTGAGTGGCGGCATTCCTCCGTAGCTACATACGCAGTCATATCTCAACGAAGACCTGTGTTGTTGCAAAGCCTTACAACAGCTCTTAGTGCTTTAACTTTTTCTGTCAAGAGCTCAGAGACTAAATGCCCTGGTATGTACACATTGTCGTAATAAGCCCAGGTAATAAGCTGAGGTTTGCTCTGTGGTATTTTGCAGTGGGGATTTGTTGGATGCCGATATGAGACAAGGATGAGATGGGTGGATGGTTTGTGCTTGTTCTTGCACCTGCTGGTGTAAAGGGATCCCCAGGTGGGTTCACCCAAACGATTAATTCTTGAATTAAGATCCTATGCATCCCGTGTAGTGGCATTGTTGGGGTGAATGAGGGAGAAGATACCTGCCTCTTTATGCTGTAGGGGATTAGATGGAGGGGAAACAAGTGTATTTCAGTATGCCGTGTAATTGAATCATTTATTTCATCACACTATGTTTATTCAAGTAGGTCTTTGCGGTTACATGGTTACAAGTGGCCCAGCAGTGTAAGATGTTGGTAAAGTTGCGTCCCTTTGGTGAGACAGGAATGAGTGAGTGAGTGAGTTGTTTCACTCTGCACTCAGCAATATTCCAGCTATATAGTGGCGGTCTGTGAAATATCGAGTCTGGACTAGACAATCCAGTGATCAACAGCATGAGCATCAATCTACGCAATTGGGAACCGATGACATGTCTCAACCAAGTCAGCAACCTGACCACCCGATCCCGTTAGTCGCCTCTTACGACAAGCATTGGTTACTGAAGATCAATATTCTAACCCAGACTTTCATGGGTCGGTGAGACAGAATAAAAGGTTACAATTTTCAGATTATGCTTGTTATGAATGTCAGCAGCATGACAGAAGGTAGTTTCTACAATTGTTTATGTATGAAACCTTGTGGTTAAAGCGTTTGCTTGTCATGCTGAAGACCCTGGTTTGATTCCCCACATGGGTACAATGTGTGAAGCCCATTTCTGGTGTCCCCTGCCGTGATGTTACTGGAATATTGCTAAAAGTGGCGTAAAACCATACTCTCTCACTCACTCATTGAGTAGAGCTTGTGCTCAGGACAATTGTTATTTCCAGGAAAGAGGAAGTAATTCAAACCAACTTTCTTTATTCATGTTGTTTTGTATGAAGTGTCCAATTCACAGAGAAATCATACAGAGACCAATGTCTCAGTTACACACAGTTTCGACGTTTGGGACCACAGAGCAGAAACCTTCACATTACATGTTCTTCCTTTCAATGGCACAGCATGAGAAACTTCGTGCACCCAAGAATTAAATGGTGTGACACGACATCAACACCTCTCTCATAGGTGGTCTTGACTGTGATGTATACTGGCTGTGATCACAGGGCACAGGTTACCATGTGTCAACCAGTGTTTGCATATACTACTACTGGGACAACTGGCTCTCATTACTAAACTCCCTCAATGAACCTTAGCCTACCCAACAGCTTAGCTGAAACAGAATTTATTTGTTTAATGATATTGATATGGAGTATACAACATGTTTCAGTTACACACTCACCAAATCCATTTTCATTCATGACCTGCCCCATTGCAATATCCGAGCACGGTCCTCAGGTAAATAGTTTAATACTGACATGTGTCAACAATGGTGAAAGAGAAGCTATAGAGTTATTTGAATATTGCATGTCTAGTTGAGTTTCTCCATGCTGGGTACATGTTCATTTCTTGGCGTTCGGCATTAATGGGTACAACAAGGACTGGTTGGCTCGGAGTCAGTATAATGTGTCTGAGTGGGGTATTCATGCTTCACTGCGGCATGGTATCTCAGTGGGCTAGCACTATAAAACCAGCTTCAGTCTGGGCAAGTACAAGCAGCCGCACATACACATACACACGCATGCATGTCGTCATATGAGCGAAATATTCTCAAGCACGACGATAAACCCAATTTCACCTCACCACATGTTCATTTCTAGTGTCTGGTTCTGAATATTGACACCGGGTTCCTGCAGACATGTCTGTAGGGAAATAATATCTTATTGAGGGTTGCTATCCTCACCTGGTACATGTACCTAAGTCATACGTCACTGATTCATTTAGTCTCCTTTACCTACGTGGGCGTGGTTGGGTAGCTCAGAGGTACCTATGTTTATGCAGCACATGTAAGTGGAATGCGGCATGCAGATGCGAAATGCATTTTGTGTGAATACATATATAGGTTAGCAATAAGTATTTTTATCATCCAAAACTGTGTTCCACTGGAGACATTGCTTGTATGAGATCAAACGATATCTCCTAGGTCATACATGTCAAACATGTTTGATCTCTTAGGAGATATCGTTTCGACAGTAGATTTTGTACAGTTCCCTGATGTCATCAGTTACATGAGATCACAATGCTATGACATCATAAACTTGATGACGTCACTGCAAGTCTAATGGCAGAACCGTGTTCAGAGATGTACATTTTGCACTGAAAACTAATGAAAATGGATTTTTGATGATAAATAGAATCTCATCCTCATGTCTTCTAATACCAAATATATTAACACTCAATATAATCGATATCAGTAGACACTTGGGTGAGATTCTCTATTTCTTTGTATTCTTCCACAAATTCTGTACTGAGAATTTGACTCCAAAGTGGTCCAGGTTTTACAACTAAGGTTTTCACTATGGCATGTAATTATTTTAGTCGGAAAATCAGAATATCACAGCTGGTGGGTCAGTGGAAAACCAGGGTTCAAACATGGCTCCAACAATAACCTGGTCAAAGGGTCACTGTTACATGGAGGGAAGTTTCTGCAATATTCTGCATGTTTGATCATAAAGCAGTTTGTGCTTGCTGTTTTATTTGGAGAATCATAACTATGTGGTATATATATCTATAATGGTGTAAATTGTAATCCAGTTGCATAGGCCAATGCTCATTATGTTGATCACTGGATTGTCTGGATTTATTTACAGACCACCGCCATATAGATGGATTATTGCTGAGTGCGGCATACAACAAAAATATAACAGTGACAAAATTCTATAACCTAGGTCCTTTGTGAATGTGGATAATTGCTCATCCACATCTGGATGTATGCTTATAATCAATAATAATCATGCAATCATATTAGTCCTCATAACAGTCTGTTATTATGGAATCCTGGTGAAAAGCATTCCTTTTTAACTAAAGGTTCAATTAGACTTGCACAAATCTCTAAGGTAATAATTAATAGTTTAAATATAATATAAAATGAAATATAAATAACAGACTAATGAGTGAGTGAGTGAGTTTATTATTACGCCTCTTTTAGCAAATATTCAAGCAATATCACAGCGTGGGACACCAGAAATGGGCTTCACACATTGTACCATGTGGGGAATCGAAACCTGGGTTTTCAGCATGATGAGCGAACACTTTAACCACTAGGCTACTCCACCTGGAATATGAGCTAAGAAATGATCTAACTCAAGTCTAGAATAATTTAGCCTATACAAATTGTCTCAGCACTTAAAATTATGTATAAAACATTGGTCTGATCTCTATTTTGATGTATTTTGTAGATATATATGTTTTGATTGGATACTTCACATATGAAAGCAACTGTCCACCAAGAACTGATTCATTTTGATAATACAGTTTAAAAAGATTTTGATCAATGAGAATTATCTTTTAACAATGGTTATCATTAAATTACATCTTGAATCGTTAACTTTTTGTGCTAGCGTGGTGTATGAGTGATTATCTAAATAATGATCAACCTATCCTAATTGAGTCTCCATGTTCTCTTAACATATGTTTATATAATGAACCTAGAAATCATTTTAGACACTTGAATGGACATTATTATAAATGTTACCTTTTGTAGACAAGAAATTCTTTAAAAATTGTATCGTTTTTATTTGCAGAACTTCTTTTAAACGTGTACATTACGAGATCCATGATATCGAATGCAATCATAGCCCCAAATGTCTGGCCCAAATGATGAGTAATATTTTCACAGGTACGTCTGGTGTTTGTCTGATCGTTGATAAAGGACTCTTTTTATAAAAAGGGATGATTATACCAGAAAGATGGGCATTCAACATCAAGAAAAAACACAATTTTTCTCGAATCAGAAATATTTTCAGTGTCGAACAAAGACCATCCAATAGAACTTTTGAAATGTCAAAGGAAATGAGTTTCAAGATTCTAATGCATTTTGGGTAAAAGTGTGTTCTTCAGCAACTGATACGATAATTGCTCATTCCTTTTTGAAATTGAGATGTAGAGGACACCCAAAGTGACATGCAAAAAGTTTATCTCAATATACAAAAACTGGAGCATAAATAACCACAGCACATGAGCAATATGTGTGCAATGCTTCTAAAGGCCAAATGAAGAGGCCACTTCAGACTGCTTAGTTGCAGGAATTATTCTTGGCAGCGGTTAATTTGCTGAAGCTAAACTTAATCAGACTAATTATTTTTGCATCTGAGAGGTTTAAAAAAATTCACTTTCTTGTAAGGGGTTAAATTAACATTGTTATGTTCTTACCGTTAATCCCCCTCTGGTACTGGTGGCGTGGACGGCCATGTTGCTGACATTCACTGTGCAGAGTTGCATCCCTTGGCCACCACACAAGCCTATTAAGTCACTCACTCACTCACTCAGGCACGCACTCACTCACTAACTCACAGCCCTTGCAGTAAGCAATATTCCACCTGTGTGATGACAGCCATTAAATATTTGAATCTAGACCAGACAAACCAGTGATTTATGTTATGAGTATAGATCCATCCTGTTATCCTCTTTTCATGTAATAATAACCAAGTCACTGAGCCTGACTGTCGGATCCGTGGAGATGAACCAGTAACTGATGTCATGAGTATTGATCCACCCTGTTAGCTCCATTGGCACAATAGTATGCAAACCACTGAGCCTGACTGTCGGATCCATGGAGATGAACCAGTAACTGATGTCATGAGTATAGATCTACCCTGTTAGCTCCTTTGGCACAATAGTATGCAAACCATTGAGCTGAATGTTGGATCCATGGAGCCAAATAAGACCAGATGAATGCCAATACCCGCGGAAGGTCCAGGTTAGAATGTACCTTCAGTAACCCTGCTTGTCTGAGGCAACTAACGGGAGTACTCAGGCCACTGCCTGCACAATGCCATCAGTTATGCAAATCATGCCCATGCTGTTGATCACTGGATTGTCTGGTCCAGACTCGGACAGACCGCCATATAACTGGAATATTGCTTGAGTGAAAAACTAAACTCCCTCACTCACTCCTTTTGTCCAATATTACCCAAGTTACTGAGCCGGTCTGATGCATGGAGAGCACTGTAAGACCAGCATTGGTTGATGAGTACCTCTTCATACCGCTATCCCGTGGGATGTGCTTTAATCGGGCTGTGCACTGTGCAACACAACTGAAGTTTTGAATTTGCAGTCCCCACTAAAACTGGTCGATTCATGATACAATGCAACCATAATTTAGAACTGTGTTACAAGAAACAAATATTGTTTAAAAGCAAATTGTGATTGGTTTTGCAGGATATAGAATGTATTTTTATCTATTCTATTTTTTCATAAAGGAAGAAAAGAATGAATAAAGGTCTATGAGTAATAAATTAGACTAACACATAGTCTCTGAAGATATATAATTTTGATAGTAACAAATAAATCCATTTAAATTGAAAAGGAGCCCGAGTCAGATAGGAAATTCAACCTAAGGGAATCTAGACTTGCTTCATCTAGGGCTTTAGCATTGCAGGGAGGGCTAGGAAGTAGGGACAATAATGTGGTTCAGGTACTGCGAGACAGACTAGTATTAGACATGTGTTTTGAGATACATTAAGTTGTTGGAAGTATAATCTTCAAACTGGAGCACTAAGTGAATGAAAGCCATGATAAATGTTCCAGTGTTAGTACATACCACCTCCTGACATGTCAGACAGTTTGTGCAGCCATGGCCATATATAACGGCCTAATAAAACTGTCAGGAGCTTAACAAGGATGTAAGTGGTCATAATATTCCCATAAAACATTAGCCTAATTGAAATTTAACTCTTTATAGGATGAAATTGGATAGGCGTTGCCTTCAATTCTCACAAATTTAAATTTATTTTAGTGATTACAAAAATAATTATTGTGTCTAAAAAAATGTTTAAGTTTCAAAGCAGTGACCATTATCATGACAGAATGACAGACATCCTGGACCAGCTATAAAACATCCATACCACAGAGGTCACTGATGGGATGATGTTCCCTGACTCGTCATGGCATTTATAAATTTAACCTATTCTAAACTGGGAAAGAAAATCAGGAGCATAAAGGTTAAAGTTGTTTTCAAACATGAAGCATTATCTGAAACATGGCAGGCATTTGAATGAATGTGGCACAGTGGATAATGTGTTAGATGGAAATGGACTAGGTGTGGGTTTAAGTCCTCATGTTGATTATATATTACCCAGCCTTTCTTCCAGTATTGGGATGTTACAGTTTAGTGTGGTAGGAACTTATACAAGAACATAGGGAGGGGTTGGATTGTACAGGTAGAATCAATCCCCTTATCCCCTTGCTTGTAGGAGTTTACATAGGGAACATAGGGAGGGGTTGGATTTTACAGGTAGAATCAATCCCCTTATCCCCTTGCTTGTAGGAGTTTACACAGGAACATAGGGAAGGGTTGGATTTTACAGGTAGAACCAATCCCCTTATCCCCTTGCTTGTAGGAGTTTACAGGGGAACATAGGGAGGGGCTGGATTTTACAGGTAGAATCGATCACTTTAGCCCCTATACATGTAAAAGGTGACCCAAGGACTAAAAGGGGGATTAGATTTTATGACTTTACAGGTAGAATAGATCCACTGACATGGACTGAAGTTTTAACAGTATAACCAGGCTCATAGGCCCCCCATTTTGTTATGTACAAGTGGCCTTGATACAGCTGAAATGTTGCTGACTTAAGCAACTCACTCACTCACTCACTCACTCACTTACTCACTCACTCACTCACTCACTCACCGTGGTATGTTGACTCTGTGAAAGCCATCACTGAACCGTTTCCGTGAGGGTCAATCAGCCTTGTGGAAGCCATTGTGTTTCTTGTTCCACATAAAGGGATGTCACCATATGCCATCCCCACTTCCTCAAACACAGTTATCCTCATACCCACAAATAAATATTTCTTGGCTAGATTTGTCTCAAAAGTGAGATGGCAGACAGATCTTTTTCTTTACCCAGAGTTGATTACAAAAAAACAAGAACTTGAGCCTTAAATACAATGTAGTCAAGCATGTCATTTTCTAGGCAAAACAGTATGCTGAATAGGATTTGGGAAACTTTAAAAAGTATTCTTTTTTCCTATTAAAGTCTGTGACTGAAGCACAGAACTGAAAGTGATGCACAGATGCCTGAGGAACATTTCCTCTTGTTTAGCCTAAAGATACTTTTGAACTTCCCTGTGTTGAAGGGAGGCTTGTAGGCTAACATTGAATATGTTTCAAGGACTGTGAGAGACTAGCACACTCGCAGTCCAAGCAAGTTTGGTTCAAACTCCTAAAATATCTCTGCTAATGTCTTCTTGTTCTTCTTTTATGCATATTGATAGTTTTACAGAAATTACACATTCCATTTGTCAAGGTATTAATACCAAAATCTAGAAGCAGGCACAACAAAACAGGCTCAAGACCTCAAGGACCTTCAGAGGTGACCAGTGCCACTCTGAGCCACAGTTTCTGTCCAGGCCTATTTCTTTGAAATAAGATTATAGTATTTTAGCAGCTCCTCTCTGAAGGTTCAAGCCATGATCTAATCTAGCTGCCACACTGACAGACTCACTTGCTGTGGACAGCTTGACATTTCAAAGTTCTTAAACAGGAAATTAGAATTTGTCACTCCCCGATCCTGGTAGTCTTCAGATGGAGTTCCGTCAAGGAGATCCGCTTCAGCCCACACAGATCTGTATATCAAGTAGCAAATGGCCACTCCATAGATGACTGAGTCACATGTGATTATACATGAGAGACACCTCATGCACTGATTTGTTTTTAATCATATTTTTAAGTCATATTTCTTTGGTTGGAAAATTCATGGACAGGTGTGTGTGATTTTTAAAAGGCAGAACTCATGAATCCCCCCTGGCTCTTTCTGTGATGTATGTAAGATCATATCTCTCAGCTTCAGCAGCAAATGTTTTCAATTCAGATTTCCTGTTTGGTTGGTCACCTAGGACAATATTTTTTAAATGCTGGGGAAGACTGAAAACTACATCTGTAACTTTCCATGATGTTAGACTAACAACTAGTCTCTGATTTCGATCAATATCACAGACTTTGACATCAGTATTGTGAGGAATACTATTGAAAAGTCCAGAGGTCCAAGGTACCGGACAAGTGTATCTATCAACTGGACCAAACAATTTATTGACACTAAGTCTGACCAGCCTGCTTCATTTGCTGAAGTGTTTCAAAGATAATTCTGGATTTGGTCTGACCATTGAAATTGCACTGAAATGAGTGAGTGAGTATGATTTTATGATTCTTTTAGCAATATTCCAGCAACATTTGGCGGGGGACACGAGAAATGAGATTCACACATTGTATCCATGTGAAGAATAGAACCTCAGGCCATTGGCGTGGCAAGCGATTGCTTTAACCACTAGGCTACCCAGCTGCCCTGCACTGAAATGAAACGTCAGAAGTTTACACATCAGTAAACAGTGAAATATACAGATTTGATTTTTGGAGTTACTGAAATTTGCTATCAGGAATTGGGATATTGCGCTCATTTTCATGAGGTCTACATTCAAAACATCTTGGTACTTGTCTTTCCTTATTGTCAAATGTGAGAACAAACATGAACCATACAATACGTACTGGACATCTGTAAAGGAAATGTAATTCTTCCTCTGTTTTCCAAATACAGGACTTTGACAGTAGTAGCGAGCACTAAAATACTTAGAGATCAACAAGTAATATGTCAACTATATTTGAATTTGGTTTTGAAGGAAAGATTGAGCATAGTGATATAGATTTATTGTTCAACCTCAAGAAAGATGAGCAATAGTCTCAACAAACACTCTCTCTTTTGTCTTCATTTTGAATGAATTTACAGACATTCCAGCATAGATATTGCAGAAACAGTGTATTTTGAAGTTCATGAGATGTCAGTATATTATTGGTCAGTTATGTGATTGTTTTCACATGTTACACATTGTGTTTCATAGAATAAATGTGTAGAAAAGAATGAAAAACAGTTGTAGTGAGAATTTAACAGAGGAGTATATTTGTCACTTCCTCCTTCCATGTTATATTGCACAATACCTCCTCCCACATACATGTGGCAACATTGTTTAATGTCAGTGTAACCTTGTATTACAGCAAGACCTGACCAGCTGCCATTGTGTATTGAAGAATTAACCACTCCCAGGAACTGAGGAATTGATGGGAACCATCTGGTTGTAATCAGAAAAAAACACGAAGTAAAACAACAAAGGCCCCTCCATCGGGGGTCCCCTCCTCAGAACACAGGTGCTGTGTTGTCTGCAGTTGCACATGGTTTAGTGTGTTTGCCTGGTCGAAGATTTGGATACCTGAATGTGATGGAGAACAGGAAGCATGGCCCTGATCATCTAGTTTACAGGTAAGGTGCTTTTGTATAACATGTGGGACAAGTTAAGATCAGTTATGAAAGTATTAGGAATTGTATTGTTGTATTGTTATTGGAATATATAGAGTCCACTCACGATATGGCACAGTCAACAAGACATTCTATAGAAGTTGTCAGAATCATTGAGCAACAGAGTTTGGTTTAAGAGTATTCCGGTTATACCATAGGGTGTGGGATCCATCTCTGAGATGTTTACCACTCAGGTGAAACTACATAGTTATCACATAGACAAGCCTAGACACATGATCAAAGTGAACTGGGATTCAAACCCAGGAACACAGGTATCTGACCTGCCTAATGGTCACAATTCACTGTGGCATCCTTAGACACTGGCAATGTAACTCCAATGCACCCTTGTTATTTAGTTGAGAAGTAAGAAGGTTATACCACAGGAATACTGCAGAACTGAATAACAATGTATCAATATGTTATAGTGTATATCCTTGTATATCCTTCAGCATCTGAGTGTCGTTTAACAGCTGTAGTAGCAATGAAGACAGGGTGGACTTATTTATTTCAGTTTTATCCCGAATACTTTATCAATCATTATTCATATCTATACTGAATGATGTATCATTAAATGTAAGAGACTAAAAGAATTTTGTTTAGCAAGATGTATGAATAAATACCTCTATATATTCCAAGGGTTTCTAGCCAATGTCATAGAATCAGTTTTTAAACTGCATATAGTCTGCTGGGAACTGAATCCCTTAAACTATCATGTTTTGAATTCTCTGATTTATAATTTGCATTTTCATTCTACGACAGTGTTTTCCTCATTAAATGATTCCTGATGTTATGAGCTATGACTCATTGAGTAGGTTTCATTATGTGATAATCATTGGATTATGATATTGTATTTCAACATTATCACAGAATTTCCTTTTTAATATGTTGCTAAGATTTGAGAAAACAGCTGAAGATGTTGTTCTATTAAGAGCAGTCGTTAAAACATGCATTAATCATATCAAATAACAAATTACTTGTCAAATTAAGATCAAGGTCACATATCAAAGATGTTTCAAGTATTTGACTTATCCTTGCTGTCGTTTTGATTATAAGGCTGTGTAATAAGACGAAGTCACCCTGAGATATTATCAGGGAAGAGGATAATCATCTCCAAAGTACCATATACATTATTAACTGATAGTGTAGATTTCAGCAACCCAACACCCCTTTAAGGCTATAGGTATTATCATATGATAATGACCTACTCCCCTAACAACTTCTAAAACCTTGAATCATTCCATCAACAGAATTGAAGTTACTCTGAAATAAATCAAGGTGTGGCAATCTGACTTTACATTCACATCAACTGAAGACAATGGAAGAGAGTAGTGAGGCCCAAAATGGGTTCCAACATTTCTTCAGTATCATTAACTTTTAAAGGGCTACTAGTCCCAGGCAAATAGACAGTCCCAGCAAATTTCATAGAAGTAATTATTAGAATGTATCAGTCATTGATGAATACCCTAAATATGCAGGAAAGGGAACTCATTATCACACATGGCACATGGGAGGGTAAAGCAAGACACGTTCCACGAAGCAAGCTTAGTGCTAAGATGACCCAAAATACCATACAGTGTCACAGACACTGAACAATCATGATGCTGATATCATTTTGAGGAACAATCAAGTCCATAGTCCTCGACCCCAAACCAAAACTGGTTCATGTTGTAGTTCCGGTTCACATGACTGATTACAAATGCTTGCTGGATAATTCTGAGACTTGTGGACTATACAAGTACTGTATGTACTTCACTATGCATGTGATTTGATTTGTAATCAGCATGCTGGAATGCTTCTCATGACACAGTATCACTGTTAAAATCCAGAAACAGAAGAAACTGCCATGTTCAGAAACAAGGAACTGGTTAAATTCACTGCACAATGCAGAACTAACTAATCTGTCCTTGTCTGCCTGCTCTGGGTACAGGGTACCATTCTGGTTACCGATTTTAGCCATGGTACATTATAAGTTGTTCACCGATCACGAGGGGGACATGGGTTGATGTACCAGCGATGTTTGTGTATGTTCCCTGAGCCCTAGGGCTCAGGGGAACATAAAGAAACATCGAAGGTACATCAACCTATGGGCCCCGACGGACCAGTGAACAACGTATTTATCTTACCGAACACCTCAATGGTAATTTTGAACTGTTAGAAGCACGGGTATCGGATCATAGTATGGAGTACCAGACGACGAAACGACAAGAAAAACAAATTTAGAGTTATCTCCCTTCCATCGATTTGCATTCGCAAAACATCGGTAATTTCCATACATCATACGTGATTCAACGTTGTTCGAGATGAAGAATTACTACTATGAAGTACCAAATGATGTCGGCATTCCCAGCGGGGTACATAGGAAATGTTACTCGCTTGTAAGCGGGGTACATTGAAAATAATAGAAGAGCGCTCAGCCAATCAGAAAACGACATTTATGTGTGAGGCAAAATAATTCTGTATACTGAAAGTATGAGTATACCTGATTTACATGCATATCTGAAATACCTATGCCAACAATGAATTCAACGTTTTTATTTTTCAAGGTTTGTTAGCACCATTCCATGTTTCTGGGTATCACCAAAGTTGTAAACATCTGCTTCACTTTCTTCCCTGTTTCAGCTGACAAATGCTTTTCAAAGTGACATTAAACTTGCTCACTCACAAAATACACAACCCATACAGGACCTCTCCTGACATGGTTTCAGTAACCCAGGAGGCTGGTCAGTTGGTCAGCTAAGGTCTGACAATGTGGGGCACGGGACTCAGGTTCCATCCGTGATAGATTGTTTGTTCTACAATGGATATATTTGCATAGCCATTTTATCCAATCTTTTCATAAATCTTATATTAATATCCAAGTGTTACAATGTATACAGAGATGGCCGATCAACCAATGCTTTTCTACTGTCCAACCTGTGGCAGATCCAGAGGGGGTGTGCGCCAGCCCCACTTTTGCACTGAATGTTTATTAAATGGCCATTGAAAACGAGTGAAAACTGTGCCCCCCCTTTCTAAAAAAGCTGTATCCGCCCCTGTATACAGAAATAGCCCATCATCCAATGCTTTCTTTTCTGCCATCCAAACTGTGGTACAAAAAGTATGTCTTCAGACACTATAGTTTGGCATGAAATGCATGTGGACCCGTCTTTTTGTAAATATTTCTTCATCCAATGACCCAATCGATCGCAAACTGTGCAAGTGGATGTTTGTCAGACAACCTAATCACATTGTAAATCACCGATTTTATGCATTTGTATTAAAGAATCTGTCTATGTAACTGTCAACAAAATAAACAGCAGAACGCAGAATGCTTACAGAGGGAGGGAGCCAATGACCTGTAACAGCGGCAGTGGTGGGTCATAAAGGTCAATGCACGTGCAGTTCATGATAGTTACCTGTGCACTGCACAGTGATAGACCGTTTGGATCATTCACATTGACTACTTCTAGCTGTCATCATGAAAGCTTATTCAGATGATGCTAAACGTTTAATTAGAAATGTGTTGAATTTGTTTTAAAAAGAGAGCAAACGTAACAAACCGATTTATAAGGTGTCGGATTACATGAAACGTACAACTTTTGCTCTTGGCATGAAAAAGAACATCGTGCTAAAAATTGTGAAAAATAAACCAACAACCAATAAACAAAACCTTGTACAAAAAGGTAGGCATCCAAAGTTAGATTCTTTTGACATCAGGGTCATCAGAGATGTCATTTGCCGGCTATTTGCAAAATTTAAAGATTTTAACCTACAGAATAATTCTCACTAATGGGTTTTGTGGTTAATGTTAACAACTCAGAGAAACAAACTCCGTATGATGGTTAACAGTTGGCACCCACCTTACCCTATTCACGACCTGTGACACCTCTTCATACCTGTCACGTGCATAGCTGACCTACATTGACGAACATTGACCTTTATGACCCACCACTGCCGCTGTTACAGGTCATTGGCTCCCTCCCTCTGCAAGCATTCTGCGTTCTGCTGTTTATTTTGTTGACAGTTACATAGACAGATTCTTTAATACAAATGCATAAAATAGGTGATTTACAATGTGATTAGGTTGTCTGACAAAACATCCACTTGCACAGTTTGCGATCGATTGGGTCATTGGATGATCATGAAGAGATATTTACAAAAAACCTGGTCCACATGCATTTCATGCCAAACTATACTTCTGTCAAATAATACTTGTTACATGTACATGATCAATGAGTTTACAATTTATATTAACTTATATGTGATCCATATAATGATAATGTGTAATATCTGTGTGCATAATGTACATTGTAGATATAGTTACTTTTATGTAAACTGGTATCTTTGCTCCCAAATGAATCTAGTACCGTGGCCTGTAGGAGTGTTTTGTACCATAAAAGTCTTGGTTCTTGATTCCTCAAGAAAGTTCAAACCATTCTGTTGCAGATGCTTGATGGGCAGTTTGGGGGAAGCATGTTTGTTTACTTTTGTATGTTTTACACATGGTAATATTTTCAGGGAGTTTGAGAATCACCAGTGAGGGAACACACAGATCACTGGGTGGCTGGCTATCCCACAACCCCATTTCGATAATAACGACTGTTGGGTTGTGTTTGTTGTGGTGGAACAGGGTTGTAGTTTTTTTAAAGTTCACCTGCTCATTGAGACTAGTGTTACTGCTTGACATGACATGACAATCAAATGACTGCATGCTTGACATGACAGTAAGATGAGGGTGATCTTTCTGCCTGACATGACACACATCACCGTTAAAACAATTGTTGATAAGATGTGTGAAAGAATCACAGAATCCAATACATTTTCAACACCTCCGGTTCTGTGAACAGTAACGGTGCCATAGCAGGTGCTTGTTTTTACACATTAATTCCTGCAGCAGCCGTTACATCAATAGACCATTATTATTCCAATTGTGTCCAAGTGAAATGTAATTATACATCAAACAACAAAATATTGAATCATTGATT